GGAGAGTAATACGAACAAAGCATAAAGTCAGTAAACTATCATCGTTCCCAAGCTAATCTGATAAAAAAATGAAGAAATTTCATAAACAAATGTTTCATATAAGAGATTATTAATTTTTCTCGTATAATAAATATCTGTAAATACAAATATAGCGTTTAATTAAATCCATTTGAAGCGTTTAACAAACAAAAGTAAAGTAGTTGTAATTTTCCCTTGAAATCGAGTAACTATCGTATTTAACATTTTTCTCGAAAATCTATAGTTTTCGAGATATTTAGATCTCAGACTTAAAAAAATTTCGTCTTCGTTTTACCGTTTGTATAATTTGTATCGTTTCATTTGTGGATAATTTATAATTCAACCAACAATTAGTGCGTGTAAAATATACTGTATGTATATATTGTTTTATGCGAAAGAAAGTTTTATTTTTAACGAAATTTGTTATTTACTATCTTCCTATACAATCAATATTACGATTCAAAGAAGAATACCTGCAATTATTTTTGCAGAAAATTGTCTATTTTCCAAGATGAAACGAAGCCAAATACGATGCCTATAGATTATCTCGATTGAAAAAGTTGTGGTGAATAGTATCGTTTTAAAGTGGTTTAAGTGCACGGGAACTTCCACGGAAGTTTGGCTAGAACTCCAAGTCACGTTGGACGAAATATCGTATTTCGTACTACTGAATTTCCGTGGCTCGTTTTTCTCAGCGTAAAATTTCATGAAAGTAACGCGTGTTTAGCAAGCAAGTTTTATAATGCCAGAACGCTTCCGCCACCACCAAAGTACACAACATTTTTTATGACAGAATATTCTAACCTGTCAAGTTTGGAAAGAATATTTCTCGAACAGGTAGAGAGGAGACAAGCTTTCGGTTTCCTCTCGATTGGTAATTGTAGGCATATTAATTAAATAGGACATATAATCTTAGAAATATGCGCGAACCCGTGGAAGAAAATGCGCCATTAGATTTCTGTATGCGAAGCAACGGAATTCAAATTCAATTAGTCCTTTTCATAAAGAAATGATTAGATTTTTCAATTAGGATGCTTTTTACCGAATTTTTTACCGAATTGATTAAAATGTTCATAATTTAAGGAATTAACTTGGAAAGAAATTGACTGTACAGTCAAAGGTGAAAGGCGATAGACGCCAATTAAATTTTATGAACTGTTAAAACAGTTCAATCGCGTGTACATTGACTTGTCTTTTAAATGAGTTTTTAGGTAACGTTCTCTCATAAGAGGCCTGGGTGATAAATAGAGGTGTTTCCTCATTTAGGTTTGACGCTATTGGGGCTGGCGTATGTTCAACTCTTTTAATGCAGACCCGTAGAATTTTTCTAACGTTGATCTTGCGTTTACGTTTTCTTACATCTACGCTTCCAGTACTTTTAAATAACTTGTAAGTATTAACAAAAGTTTGCCTAGAAGGCAATTGAGCAATCGAGTCTGCACTGCACTTTCTCTACGCTCAGAGTAAATCGTTATCATATCATATCTCTCAATCATTGAATAAGACATAGCGGAATCGCGTTTGGAAACATACTGATTGTAAATGGCAGCGTAATCGGCTAGATCAGGGGTGACGAACTAGCGGCACGCAAGCCACCGATGATTTCTCCTCATCACCTTTTCCACTGAGTCACCGAAGTATGACTCCTCTGTACCTCCTCGATTTCGCCAAACCAGCTTACAACGGTGCCAGCTCTCAAGCTAAGCTTTAGTCTCTACTCTTCGCAATCGATGCAAACAATTTTTATTTTGCATAAACTGTCTTACAAAAATCAGGAGACAGATAAGACTGTATTTCTTCTTTTAATAATGTTAACAAAGTGAAAATTATACAACAATATTCTTACAGTTTCCCGATATCTTCTCTGCTCTGTATTTCACTTATCCACTTTTTTTTCATTAATTTTACGTTAGTACTTGAAAATTCGTAGCGATCGTTTCGCATGTATGGGTTTGAGACCAGTTATGGCTACATATTCTATTAAATGACTTTTCGCAAAAAAAGATTTTATAATCAAAATGTACTATTTGACAAATATATTGGAACGAGAATCCCAGGATATTTCGAGCCGATTTTTTTATAACATTATCTAAATTGTCCCACCTTTATGTTCGTCCCATTAAATCATGTAATTCTTCACCTACACATTTGTTTCTAAATGAGATCTACGAAGTTTATTTTTTAAATTTTCGTTCTAAGCTTAGAAAAAGATCTCGGTTGATTATATTTATGATGAAAATTTCATCGAAATCAGTTAACGCAAAGTCGAGCTACAAACCTTGAGAGATTTTAAAAACTGCAGATTTCTCGCATTTATTGATCGAAAGTGGCAAAAATCGGGACAAAACTGCGATTATTGCGATCTTTAATCGTGTACAGCTCGTACCAAAGTCAACCGATTTCGATGGAATGCTCAGCATGCATATAATTCACAGAGATCTATAAAACACATTTTTTACATTTTCGTTATCGGCTCGGATAAAAAAGTTAGAAAACGAAAGTTTCTTATTTTCTTTTACCATTCTAAGCAATAGCAAAATTTAAAGGGAGCATTCTAGTTACGGTCTAGTCGACCGGACCTATCTATTATTTAAAAACAATTCAAGTCATTTAGTTCGCTTCTAAAAAAGTTATTGCATTTTGAAAAGTGTTCGAGTATTAACGGGAATCACTGCATATAGTCTTTTCTAATTGATTCCATTATGCTGTGGGAATTTTAAACATTTTAAATAAAAAATACTGCAGCGCTCGTCTGTCAAGATCTACTGTCGTTCTTAAAAGTGCACACTTAACCCTCTCTGTTCCCTGGAGCTGTATAACATATTCTAGTCTAATTATGCTGCAGATCGATTCGGTTGTTCGTTGTTCACGCCTGTCGACGCAAATGACCGCAATTAA